GACAATAGTTGGTCGAGTTTTGTAAACACTGTCTTTAACATATCCCCATAAAAAAACCAGACTAGATAAAATCAGAAACATTTAAGTATTCTATTAATTGGTGAATCCACACTGCAAATGCAACCCTAACCTAACAATACCAACTAATAGAATCATATCAATTCTCTCTGATGTAGGATAAGTTTGCATTTTCGGCAAAGTTCTGAGAAATTTTTTGTTTTAACTGACACAAAATGATAACTAGTTGTTAAAGTTGGATTAATTAGACAGCTATGTTGAAGTAACGTCAGACATATCAGAGCCACCTAGATTTTATCAAATAATATAGATCTATATTATTTTCTTAGATCAAATCATGTAAATGAAAATATCTAAGAAAATCTTTGTTTGAAGGGTAGGCAACCTTAATAGTATTTTGAAGAGACATGAATTCTCCATTGAATATCTGAATAATACATTGGGCGTTCCATTTAAAATAAAAGAGTAACATTCTTTTAAAGGTGACCAGTGTTCAATATTAATTTTGTCTCACCCTGTATAACTTTTTGGATCAAGTTTTAAGTTGATTTAAAGTACGATAGTTAATTTAACTATATATTAGGCTATACCGGGTAAATTCCAATTTAGGTAGCTATATTGTAATTTAAAAATTGTTCCTTATTTCTTGAAAATGTTAAATATGTCAAAAACCTTACATTTTAGTCATATACTCTTATAAAACTCACCTTTATTTTTCTCCCAGAATCCGAAAATCGATTAATATATAGGGTACATATATAATACAAAAAATACAACTTTGACATGTAACTTTTCTTGGGGACACCCTGTAGAAGTCTGTATATTTTTAAAAAGTGCTCTGAATTAAACTACATATGCTCACAAATTTTCATTTCAGTACAAGCTGTCGTTCTCCTTAGAGCCTCCGCGGCGTATGAGAGGCGCCACCCTGTACATTCCCAAATATTTTTTAAAAATTTGGGACGCAACAGAAAACATAAAAGAATAGAAATTAAATAATATGGTGTGTATTCTGAATCGGTACGTTTCGGGAATGTACGTATCTAAACGCCGGGTTTACCACAAATATGAGTGTGTATAAAAATGTAGATGGCGCTGCGATACAGTGAAGTTTAGGTTACCACAATTCTGAAAGTGTGTGATACCAAAAAATATTATGATTTGTGGAAACTTACACACGTAATTTTTCGGATCTAGCCGACCAGACTAATTTTGACCCGAGGATATCGAATTTGCTATCAGAAAATTGTGGTATACGCGTGTATGTATACCATAATTGAGACTTATGTCACAAATACTACTACTGCACACACAAGGTGTCACAAATATGGTCACACATACACAGCATACACTGTCATAATTCCCATTCTCCTGAAAGTGTTTCTACAACTTTCAGTATTTTTCATCTTTTGAATTATTCTAAAATGATAAAACTAACAAAGACATTCTGTATCCCACCCTCTCTGCCCCAAAAAATGATACCATACCTTAAGATGTATTCAAAGTTGACAAAATACAGAATTGTCAGTGTTTTTAAATCCATATACCTGCCAACAACCCTAATACAATAGCAGACAGAGTTTAACTTTGTTACCACGTTCTGAATGTGAAATGACCAATCTAAAAATTCGTTAATGTACACACCTAAAAGTTTTATACTATTTAAAATTTCAGTGTTTTCGTCACTGATGTAACTAGGTATTTTTATTTTGGAACCTCTTATCCTGAACAGCATTGATTTGTTTTGTTTTGGTTCAAAATCAGTTTTTTCAAAACCACTCAACAACTTTTTGTAGGAATACATTTGCATCTGTTAAAATATCATTTAAGTTTTTATGTCTAGTAATAAGAGTCGTATCATCTGCGTATTTCACAATAGCCTGATTTGCCGTACTGGTTACCATATTAAGGTCATTGACAAATATGATAAATAGCAGTAGTCCCAAAATACTTCCCTATGCTATGCCGATGTTTGTGGGCAACTGTGTGGATCGAAAGATTTCTCTGTCTTTCCTAATAACCACCATCTGAGATCTATCAAACAAGAACGATGCCAGCCAGTTTTTTGTGGAACTCCTTATACCTTATGGTTCTAATTTTCTTATAAGTATCTATTTTCTTCATTTGTTTTTGATGCAGCAGTGTTTTTTTTTTGTTCGTCTCTAACGCAGTTTTAATAAGACGTATCTCTTTGCGAGTAAAAGCATACGCCGGCCTACAAACGGATCTTTTATTACAAGTAATGATATAGACAGATATATTAAAACGCACATTGCTAAATTAATACTAATCGCGCGTCACCAGCAGGTCTTCATGCCTTGCCAGGTACTCCCTGGCAGCAGCTTTAACTCCCTAGCTCTTTCCAAATAAGATCCGTCCACCGATCGTGGCACATATTGTTTGTCGAGCAAGTATTTTAAAATAATATTGTCCTCATCTAGGGTATATGCAGACATTTTTGGCCAACACGAACCGCTGCGCTGTAAGAAAACAGTAACAAATAACAAATAAACAGAATGTCTAGAGAATCTAAATTTATAAGAGTGAATATTATATTAATATTGCTGTGTCCCCTGACTATGAATACTATAACGGAAGCGACCACGAAGCGACTAGTTTGTATCTGAAAAAAAAATTATAGGTAAAGAAATAAAAAAGATGTTTTCCTAGCTGGGTTTTAGAAATTGGCTCAAAAATTGATAATTATTCTTCTTATGCTTAAAACCCTGTGTATTCTTCTGAAATAATCAATCTTAATAATTCTGAAAATTATCAAAATCAAAGTATTTCACAGAAGCACAATTTTGCCTCAAAATTATATTAGAACCTCAGACGGTAGCTTATTAAATAATTTAATGCACATATGCATATGAAGGACATTTTTCTGTTAATGACAGTGTATGCCATGGATAGTCCATATCCAGTATTCTAGTTCCATATTTGTGGATTTTGGCTGTTTTAAAATACTCTTGGTGTTTAAAAAGAAACATAAGGCACTTATGTACACAGCATACACTCTCATGATTCCCATTCTCCTGAAAGTGTTCCTACAACTTTTAGTATTTTTCATTTTTTAAATTATTCTATTGACTCGTTTCTCACTAAAAAAGACATTCGGGATACAGAATGTCTCTTTTAGTCAGAAACTCTCTGCCCCAAAACCTTAAGATGAATTCAAAGTTGACAAAATACAGAATTGTCAAAGTTTTTAAATGCATATACCTGCCAACAACCCTAATACAATAGCAGACAGAATTAAGTTTTTATGTCTAGTAATAAGAGTCGCATCATCTGCGTATTTCGCAATAGCCTGATTTGCCGTACTGGTTACCATATTAAGGTCATTGACAAATATGATAAATAGCAGTGGTCCCAAAATACTTCCCTGTGCTATGCTGATGTTTGTGGGCAACTGTGTCGATCGAAATATTTCTCTGTCTTTCGTAATAACCACCATCTGAGATCTATCAAACAAGAATGATGCCAGCCAGTTTTTTGCGGAACCCCTTGTACCATATGGTTCTAATTTTCTTATAAGTATCTATTTTCTTCATTTGTTTTTGATGCAGCAGTGTTTTTTTGTTCGTCTCTAACGCAGTTTTAATAAGACGTATCTCTTCGCGAGTAAGAGCATACTCCGGCCTACCAACGGATCTTTTATTACAAGTAATGATATAAACAGATATAGTAAAACACACATTGCAAAATTGATTTCAAAGTTTTTCTTTTAATACTATTACCCCCAGAACTCATCGTTAAACTTAGGATATTTACTTTATTTTTTTTTTATTGCACACACAGTAGACTTAGCGATGTCATACTTTTTTGTGAGGTGAGTAACACTCTTTCCATAGTAACACACGCCTAGTTCGTCGTAATAGCAATGAAAATTGAATTCTAATAAAACAACTGATTATAATAAGGTGGGAATATACCCGACAAGCCGGAGAATTACCGAAAAAGTTGTTCACTTAATCGAGGTTGCCGCCGTTCACTTTATAGAACCTGTAATGTTACGTTTCTACTCTTCATTGTAATGAATAGTTCATATAAAAGGATGTTCACACAACCGAGCGTCTACTGTAGTTATTGTAACATTTGGCAGACTTCACATGTTAACACAATACGTAACGGTATCTCGGTAACCGTAATAGATACGAACATCGTTAAAATGGGGCAAAGTTGCGCTTTGGTATGTTCACCAAGATGCCATTAAAAAAGTTTTAAAAATTTTAAGGATTGATGAGTTTTTTGGGAAAAACGGATTTTTTAAAAATCAATTTTATATTTGATAGTATTTTTAGATTTGCAAATTAGCTGATAATTTGTGAGATACAGAGGCCAACAACAATTTTTTTCAATACGGACCTGCATTTTTTATTTCCGGTTTTGAAAGAACTCGATCTCTTGAGTACAATGATATGTCACACTTATTTTTTTAAAATTTTTATGTTTCAGACATTTGAACACAATTTGGCTTTCACCAACCCTTGGACCCTTCAAATGGTAGAGCAGTATAATGGCCAGCGAGGTTCCTGGACCTGTCTCCAAGGGGCGGCGGGGTGTGGGGGCATTACCTGACGTCATTTGTAAAAGTGCAATCAATACATTTCAACATTTACAATAAAGAGTACAAAATAGAGCATTAGAGACTAGTTTGTAGAAGTTGATTTATTTATAATAACTACGATCAAATATTATGCAGATCGTATACTGAGATTTCAAATTCACAATAAAAAAAACTTAAAAATAATATCTATTGATTAACTATTGACTAAGTAATTGCTAAGCAGGATATTATTTATTTAAATCTTTTAATTGACTCCATTTTCCTTATTCGATGTTAATTACTTTGTCCCTATTTAACCATCTTCGTATCTATTGCGGTTTCCGATATACCAATGCTCGTACCTCAAATTTGTAGCACCCAGTATAATAAAATCAAACTAGCTAGTACAAAAAGTCGATTTATTTACAAAATTGGTATAAAAATATTATCTAAATATTTTTGTCACATCTTTACTATCTTTTCATTTAAAGGAATTTCTTCTGGAAAGTATTTTTTAATAATATCAGAAGGCAAACAAAAATTAAGCATTAAACATGCAGCCCAAATGGTTAGGAATATTCCTATTACAATTAAAAAGAATGAAGAATATCGTAAATAGTCCGGTAATCCTTGAATTACTCTTAGTTTAATTGCTAAATCGTCGTTCAGTTCAACTGTTTGACTAAAATAGAATATCGGCATGTAAATCTTTGGCATATTTCTGTATAAACTGGAATAAAAAGAATAATTGATTATATTTTGAGTAAATGAGATCAGTTAATATTACCTAAGTCCTTGTATAGGCTGAAGCAACATATTCAGTTGCATATTTGCAGAAAGTTCCATAATGATGCCGGAATTCTGCAAACAAGTAGGTAATTTTCATTTATTAAATTTACATACTAAGGGCTGGCAAAGGTAAGTCTTGGGTCAGATTTCCGTATGTAAGAAGAGTACAATGCGTTTATAATGTACTGAACAAAGAACAAAGAGAGGATAATAAACACGTTGCCAAACGTATAAAATAAACCGAGAAACTGTGCATCGCTAAGAGACGTGGAAGGGGATATAGCAGATTTGTCGCAGTTGACCGGTCGACAATCAACTCTGTCAGTACTTAAAGTTCTAGGGAAAGGTGTGCGTCATGCGTTCAGCTTCACGATTTAATTACGTCGCGTGATACTTAATTTGTTTATTTATTAACGAGTCGTTGTAATTTTTCCCTATAGCTTAAATTTTTTAATTGCAAGCTAGAAACACTTGCATTTTTGAGGTAAAATAAGTGGAATTGAGTGGGTGTTCGATAGTGGTCGCTATTAGAACTCTGAATTCAAAAATCAAATATCTCGAAATCTATTAAAAATAGATTGTAGTTTTTCAAGAACTTTGTTAATATTTCTGCTGTATTTTCTTTGTAGACAGTATGTGAAAATCTTTATCAATAAAAAATTACACGATTGCTGAGAAAATTGCTATGCTCTAAAGTAAATGGATGGATTGTTTATAATTTTTGAATGGAAAAAAACAACCTTATCAATTTTTCTTATGTAAACAAAAAAAAAAAAAAAAAAAACCTTTTAAAATAAAATAAAAAGTTTCAATATCTAAAATTAATGGTTCTTGAGTGGCCTGTTATATTTTAAAATTAATTGTATTTTGATAGTATTTTTAGATTTTGCAAATTAGCTGATAATTTGTGGGATACATAGGCCAACTTAATTTATTAAATACGGACCTGCATTTTTTATTTCGGTTTAAGAAAGAACTCGATCTCCTGAGACAATGATATGTCACACTTAATATTTTTTATGTTTTTCAGGCATTTGAACACAATTTGGCTCTCATTAACCCTTGGACCCTTCAAATGGTAGAGCAGTATAATGACCAGCGAGGTTCCTGGACCCTGTCTCAAGGGGCGGCGGGGTGTGGGGGCATTACCTGACGTCATTTGTAAAAGTGGAATCACATTTCAACATTTACAATAAAGGGAATTACAAAATGCATTCGGAAGAATAAGAAGAAAAAGAGCTATAAATAAAATTGAACGAAAAAATAAATTGCAATAGGGAGAAAAGAATAGAGCATTAGAGACTAGTTTGTAGAAGTTGATTTATTTATAATAGCTACTATCCGATATTATGCAGATCGTATACTGAGATTTTCAAATTCACAATAAAAAAAACTTAAAAATAATATCTATTGATTAACTAATGACTAAGTAATTGCTAAGCAGGATATTATTTGTTTAAATCTTATAATTGACTCGATTTTCCTTATTCAATGTTAATTAGCTCTTAATGTGCACTGAGTTTAGTTTGATGAATTATTTTTTTTAATTTTCTAAAAAGTAAAGACAGGAATAAATAAAATTGATTTTCAAAAAAATCCGTTTTTTTCCAAAACACTCAGCAATCCTTGAAATTTTTAAAACTTTTTTTTGATGGCATCTTGGTGAACATCCCAAGAAGCAACTTTGTCCCTATTTAACCATCTTCGTATCTATTGCGGTTTCCGATACCAATGTCGTACCTCAAATTTGTAGCACCAGTATAATAAGAATCAAACTAGCTAGTACAAAAAGTCAGTTGTTATCAAAATTAGTATATAAAAAATATTATCTAAATATTATTTTTGTCACATCTTACTATCTTTTTCATTTAAAGGAATTTCTTCTGGAAAGTCTTTTTTAATAATATCAGAAGGCAAACAAAAAATTAAACATTAAACATGCAGCCCAAATGGTTAGGAATATTCCTATTACAATTAAAAAGAATGAAGAATATCGTAAATAGTCCGGTAATCCTTGAATTACTCTTAGTTTAATAGCTAAATCGTCGTTCAGTTCAACTGTTTGACTAAAATAGAATATTGGCATGTAAATCTTTGGCATATTTCTATATAAACTGGAATAAAAAAATAATAATTAGTTATATCTTAATAAATAAGGATCAGTTAATATTACCTAAGTCCTTGTATAGGCTGAAGCAACATATTCAGTTGCATATTTGCAGAAAGTTCCATAATGATGCCGGAATTCTGTAAACAAGTAGGTAATTTCATTTATTAAATTTACATACTAAGGGCTTGCAAAGGTAAGTCTTGGGTCGAGATTTCCGTATGTAAGAAGAGTACAATGCGTTTATAATGTACTGAACAAAAAGAGGACAATAAACACGTTGCCAAACGTATGAAATAAACCGAGAAACTGTGCACATCGCTAAGAGACGTGGAAGAGGATATAACAGATTTGTCGCAGTTGACCGGTCGACTCAATCAATACTTCTGTCATTACTTTAAGTTCTAGGGAAAGGTGTACGTCATGCGTTCAGCTTCACGATTTAGTACGTCGCGTGATACTTAATTTGTTTGTTATTAACGACTCGTTGTAATTTCCCTCTAGCTTGTATTTTTTTAATTGCAAGCTAGAAACACTACATTTTTGGTAAAGCCAGTGGAATTGAGGGGTGTTCGATAGTGGTCGCGCTATTAGAACTCTGAGTTCAAAAATCGATATCTCGAAATCTATTAAAAATAATAGATTGGTTTTTCAGAACTTGTTAATATTTCTGCTGTATTTTCTTTGTAGACAGTATGTGAAAATTTATCAATAAAAAAATTACACGATTGCTGAAAATTGCCATGTGTTCTAAAGTAAATGGATGGATTGTTTATAATTTTTTGAATGGGAAAAAACAACCTTATCGAATTTTTCTTATGTAAACATATTGTAAAATATCCGATCTGGAAAATAAAAAAAAGTTTCAATATCTAAAAGTGGTTCTTGAGTGGCCTGTTATATTTAAAAATTGATGCATTTTTTGATAGTATTTTTTAGATTTACAAATTAGCTGATAATTTGTGAAGTGCAAGTAACTTAATTTATTAAATACGGACCTGCATTTTTTATTTCCGGTTTAGAAAGAACTCGATCTCCTGAGACAATGATATGTCACACTTAATATTTTTATGTTTCAGGCATTTGAACACAATTTGGCTCTCATTAACCCTTGGACCCTTCAAATGGTAGAGCAGTATAATGACCAGCGAGGTTCCTGGACCTGTCTCCAAGGGGCGGCGGGGTGTGGGGGCATTACCTGACGTCATTTGTAAAAGTGCAATCAATACATTTCAACATTTACAATAAAAGAGTACAAAAATACATTCGGAAGAATAAGAAAAAGAGCTATAAATAAAAATGAACGAAAAATAAATTTGTGCAATAGGGAGAAAGAATAGAGCATTAGAGACTAGTTTGTAGAAGTTGATTTATTTATAATAACTACTATCAAATATTATGCAGATCGTATACTGAGATTTCAAATTCACAATAAAAAAAAAAAACTTGAAATAATATCTATTGATTAACTAATGACTAAGTAATTGCTAAGCAGGACAATACATTATTTACAAATCTATAATTGACTCGATTTTCCTTATTCAATGTTAATTAACTCTTAATGTGCACTGAGTTTAGTTTGATGAATTATTTTTTTAATTTTCTAAAAAGTAGGAACAGGAATAAATAAAATTGATTTTCAAAAAATCCATTTTCCAAAAAAAAAAAAAAAAAAATCCTTGAAATTTTTAAAACTTTTTTGATGGCATCTTGGTGAACATCCCAAGGAGCAACTTTGTCCCTATTTAACCATCTTCGTATCTATTGCAGTTTCCGAGATACTGTCGTACTGCAAATTTGTAGCACCCAGTATAATAAAATCAAACTAGCTAGTACAAAAAGTCGATTTATTTACAAATTAGTATAAATATTATCTAAATATTTTTATGCATCTACTATCTTTTCATTTAAAAGGAATTTTCTTGCTGAAGATACTGAAAATAATATCAGAAGGCAAACAAAATTAAACATTAAACATGCAGCCCAAATGGTTAGGAATATTCCTATTACAATTAAAAAGAAGGCTACGAGACGAAGAATATCGTAAATAGTCCGGTAATCCTTGAATTACTCTTAGTTTAATAGCTAAATCGTCGTTCAGTTCAACTCTTTGACTAAAATAGAATATTGGCATGTAAATCTTTGGCATATTTCTATATAAACTTTTTTTTTTAAAAAAATAATAATTAGTTTTTTTTTTTTTTTTTTTTTTTTTTTTTTTAATTTAATAATATTACTAAGTCGCGCTTGTATAGGCTGAAGCAACGCACCGCTGTTGTTCCATTCCGGTTTGCTATGATTGCCAGAGT